GAGAGAGAGAGAGAGAGAGAGAGAGAGAGAGAGAGAGAGAGAGAGAGAGAGAGAGAGAGAGTATTAGAGGAAGGTCGGGGTGGAGGGGGTGCTAAAGTCGTGAGATCGTGCCATGTGGGAGAGAGAGAGAGAGGGCAGAGGGAAGGGAGATAAGATAGCCCAGAGAGAGAGAGAGAGAGAGAGAGAGAGAGAGAGAGAGAGAGAGATGAGGGGAGGGTTAGGGGAAGGCGTGTGGGAAGAAGGTTAAAGGCACGTCACAGCCGGCCTAGCTCAGTTGGTACAACCTCGGCCTGTTGAAATGAAGACCTTTTGAGCCCAAATGTGGAAATATAATAATTATGAATTACATGGGGGCAGCCAGCTCAATGATGATATCTCAATGGTCGCCTTTTGTGTAAAAGAAAGAACAAAGAAGAAAGAAGAACAAAGAAGACCTGCCACGTGGTTGTGCCACATGGAACGATCTCTTTTTCATTTTCTATTTTTTTTTAGGTTACCAATGGTTCGGAGACCGGATGTCTCCCCCGATTGTCTCCTCCGGACGTTCGTGGTCCTGGTCGTCCGGGTTTTCGGACGATGGCTTTTTTGGGCCAAAAAAAGTCAAAAAAAAAAAAGGGTTTGTGTTGCACTGGTTTAGCGCCCCCCCCCCCACCAGATTCCACGTGAAACAGAGCACTTTTGTGAAATAATTAGTAGAGGGGGGGGGGGGAGGGGTTCAGGGGGTGAAGAAGAAGAAGAAGAAGTAGATTGATTGATTGATTGATTGGAGGCGGTTGATGGCGGAGGAGGTGGGTAGGACGCCTCATTCAATCAATCGATCAATCAATCAATCAATCAATCAATCCATTGATCTCAATGGATAATTTCGTTGAAGATCCGTCGATATCGACGGATCTTGAACGAAATGATCCGTCAAGATTGGCGGATTGATTGATTGATTGATGGATGGATGGATTGATTGATGGATGGATTGATTAATTGATTGATTGTATGGGGCGGAAGAGGCGGAGGAGGTGGCGAGCGGAGGTGGGCGGAGGCAGGCGGAGGCGGGCGGAGGTGGGCAAAGGCCGTCGGATGTGGGCAAAGGCGGGCAGAGGAGGTGGGAGGTGGAGGCGGGCGGAGGTGGGCGGCTGTCTCTTATACACATCTAGATGTGTATAAGAGACAGTCCTCGTCCTCCCCCGCGGACTACAGCAGCGAAATCACCTCCCTGGACTTCACCACTGTCCTCATCCAATCCATACTCAATTTTATCACAAGTTA